AAAGACGGCATGAGCATGAGCCTGAGCGGCTGGACGCAAGACTGCAGCAACTCCTCGGCGATCGAACCTTTGCCTGACCTCGGCAGCCTGAGCCTCAAACAAGCTATTGACTAAAAAAGCCATTAAAGAAAATAAAAGCATAAGAAAGAAGTAGACCCCAGCCGCAGCTGGCGACATGTCAGCCAGAGGTGCCTCAGCAGCATGAATCTCAGGAGCCTCCTGGTCAAATCTGTGTGTAAGGGTCAGATCAAACAACCTCATTCTTTCATTAAGTAAATCTACTAGTAGATCAAGGTCCTCCACATTCATTTGCCTTGGTTGAGGCACCCTGTCCTCTGCAACATCCACAGTATTGTCAAAAATCAGATTAATATTGACATTCATTGCAACCTCTGAATAAGATGCAACTGTTTTGTATAATGCTGTGTACCGTTAAACGCTTCTCTGAAACAATAGCAGACTAACCCCAAAGTGTGGGTTTAGGTCTGTGACTGCTGACGTCATAGTGGCGCCCTGCGCTTTGAACTTTTTCCTTTGATCTTTTTTTTTTTTTTTTATGTCCGCCATTTCATTGTACGTTACTTTTTTTCTTTATATACTTTATTAAGGCATATGACAGTAGTTATACATAAGTAAATATATCGGAAACAAGAGGATTATAACATAAAGAACTTAAAACAAGAACAACATCGAAGCAGACAATGTGAACATGAAACTTTTAGGCCAGGGGGTGACTTAATGGGTTAAGTTAAGTAAAAACAATTATGGAAATTATTAAGCTAAATCTATTTGATTGGCGCCGATTGATGCATTCACTTTCGGTTTACCGCGGACGTAAGGCTTTTGGTTGCGGCATGTGAAAACATTCTCAGCTGATGAGAATCAGCTAGGGAACATGATAGAAGCAATGCCGTAAGTTCTTATATGTGTCAATTGACATAGTATAGTTAACATTTGCTATGATTGTGTTAAAAAGAGTTAGATGCGATGTTGAGGAAGTTTATTTACAGTTGTGCATAGGCTAGCTGATACTATGCATTTGAACGTGTGTTGAATTGTACCACCATTTATAGTATAAGTATTCGTTAAATAAGTATAACTGACACAATGTCTATTATATTGTTTATTTGCAGTTTTTGCCGTGATGTTATATGAAGAATGGACAGTAAATGTTTTTATCTTACTGTAAGAATTGATTCTATACATTACTAGTGGAAATTGTATTAGCTCGCTAGTAAACTATCACGCGTTGCAATCTAGCTTAGCTCGCTAGCCGTAACACTGCACCTGGGGCCAGATATGCAGTTTGCTTTGTCTATCGAACGTCTTTTTGTAGCTTTACGTTGTTGGAGGATGCATGTGTGTAGGTGTTTTGGCTATATGTATCACTAGAGCGCTTATTTTTTACCATTACACAAAATCCATATAACGTTAACGTTCCACAATAACGATTTTGAGTTTATTTTCTACAATAGCCTGTTAATATTTTATATAAAAAAAAGAATGTAGCCTCCACTTTGCATCATGCCTGAAAATCTGTTTGCAGTCTAAGAAATTGTAAAATTGAGCCTGTCATGACTGTTAGAAGTGGTCATCTCAAGTCTTAGGCCCCCTGTCTCTGCAAAATACTGTATTACAAAGCAGAACTTGTAATATGCTAAGCAGGCCTGTGTGAAGATGCAGATCAAGCCATCTGGTTACCTGAAGATGCAGACATTATGTCTCCACAGAGTTACAGCAAACAGTTCCTACTTAGTAAAACTTGACAGTCATCAATACAGTTATAATGTATATACGCAAGGAAAATAAAGGTGTGAAAGGTAACTAAAGCTTCGTTGTTCTGTACAATCATCAATACCGTTGTACTATATATAAACAAGGAAATTAAAAGGTATGAAAAGTAACTAAACTTACAAAGTAACTAAAGCCTATAAGATTCAGATATTACATGACTTATTTTTTAAAGGAGTAATGTAACTAGGGCTAGGCGATATGGCCCAAAATTCATATCTCGGTATAATTTTTACGCGTCACGCACAGTCAAGTGACTGCTGGTGACTGAAGCCTGTCAGAAGTACCTTACTGACAAACCATACAGTGGCCTCATATCCGAGGGAATCCGACAGGTGACATATTTGCTCATTAGCTACGGGCATCCAGTCTGACCCAGTTTGCCTGTTTCCAACAAAATGACTTTGTTTTTCTGTCTCTTGTTTCCCTCCCTCAGGTATCTTACCTTGCCAATGTCCTTCGTTTGGGCATGTCTCCTGAAGCATCCTTTAGTCAGTGGGCATGGCAGCTGTTGCTGAGGCTGAAGCTCCATAGCAATTCCCAGAACCTTAAAGGAGCATGGTTGGTCCCTGCTTTGACATCCAGCCCACCTCCAGAGCTTACACAAACACTCTGAACATGCACTCTGTTCTCAGGGCTGTAAAAGCAGGCATCCCTATTGGATGCTACTTGTCCATTGCCATGACACCAGTAGGACACAGGTGTGTTCTCACACATAAACTATGCCTAATACTTATGGTTGAATTATACATATAGTACAGTTTGAACTAAGTTAATCTCTTGTAGCTTTTTTCTGTGGTTTTCTAGTCTGGAACACTTTTGTACTGACGGTATTGGGTTGTTGAAGAGTCTGATTCAGTCTCACCATCTGAGAGCTGCTGTGCATCTGCTGGATAACATCCTACCCCCAACCTACCATCTCAGCTTCTGCCTACTCAACAACTCACAGTATAAAAAAATAAAAAAAAATCCTTGACACACAGCCTATAAAAAAGGCCAGAAACGTATTCAATATAGCAGCTACTGTATCTCCAACGCTTAATATTTGTTCTTGTCTTTCATGTCATCCCTCTGTTCATGCCAGGTTTGTCAGTTGTATCCAGATGTTCTTGCAGTATGACAGTGTGTCCCCTTGAGGTGTGACACTGCAGGCCACTCATCGGGCAGCACCACTCCTTACAGGAGCCACCTATGGAGAAAATGTCCGACAGCTAAACGGTGTCATTCAGGTTGGCCAGAGAGAGATTTTGTTATAAAGATATATTTCAGGTCTTCAGCCATCACAGAGAATTTAATGTACTGGATACATATAATGGTTAGAAGAAAGGTGAACATTAATTAGTAGGTATGGAAGAGAGAATGTGGTCTTTAATTTGTGATGTAAATAGGTGGGAGTAATATAAGAAAAAGCACTCAGAAAAATGCTGGTGCTCCAAATAAACTGCACTAGCATAGGACCTTGTTCCACCTTTAACTAGTGATGCATGTTTTAGTCACTTCAAAATTTAGAAAAAAAAATGTAGAAAAGATGAGCCAGATTTTCAAACTAAAATATTTTGCAAAATGAGTAGAAGTCATTTTATTCCATATATTGTCTCAAAATCACAGATGACATAAAAATAAATGTGGGTCTTGTCTTCCAGAGTCATGTGGTGGAAAGCTCACAGCCCAGTCGTGCCCTGGAGGTTTGGGTGGGAATTCTGACAGCAGAACCTGTGGTACTGAGACAAAACAGTCCTATTCTCATCGATCAGATCTGTGCTGCATTCACACACCACCAGGAGGAGTGTGTGCAGAAACCGCTTTACCAACAGCATAAGGTGTTTACCCAGTTCTGTTTGTTTGCATAATGTAGGGACTCAGCGATGGGTCTCAAAGGTGTTAACACTGTAAATTGCCTTAGTTATACTATAAAGATTCATAGGACATTAACAATAGGTCACACATTACAGGAAGTGCCAGCGCTTGTTGTTGAGGGATGCTAAAAAGTGACCTTAAAGCCATTACACTCTTCTTCATACAAATGTTCGGGCTGTGTCTCGTTTATGTATCTGCTCTATCATTAATTATTGTATTTTTAAAGAACAAATAGTTAAATGTCTGCATTTAGTCATGAGTGAAAGGTTTTCATCAAGAAAACCAGAGGATGCCAGTACCACCTGTAAAGAAGGATTAAGAACCATGATGCCTATACTATTTGTCATTTTCTTCTCTCAGGCTACAATGGATTATGCATAACAAAATGTCTCTTAAAATATAAAAGTTTCCTTTCTTCCTAAATGATAACTTCCTAGTGTTTCGCACCCTGGCTTTGTTGCTGGGTTGGGGGTAGGATTAATAGTAAATAGACACGAATCTGATTTAGATGTTTTATTTACAAAAAATGCACATTTGCTGTGAAACCATCTGTACATTCAACAGCTTAAATATCGATTTGAATAGACAGACTTTTCTACAGCTTCTGGAAAACATACCAAACTTCTATTCCACTAAATACAATATCAGAATCAAGACTTTTCTCTGGTTTATAATTTCTTTGTAGTATTATCTAGTGTACAGTTTACTGCTTTTCTGTGGCCACTGTATACATTCCATTTATTTTTTCTTGGTACATCTTCACAACAATGGGCCGCCTCAATTTCATGGTGGGACCTATGCAGACAAAGAAAAGCAGGTAAATTCGAACAAACTCTCTGAGGTGTCACCCACACAATAAAGATCCAGTATAGATTTAAAAATATTTTTGAGGAACAGATTCAGTTGAAGTTTAACAAACACTGGACTTTTGTCTGGCATGCAGCACAGTCACATGACTTGTATACGTGCATCTCCATGGTGTCGAGCTGACCACTTTGTTCAGATTTCATTACTACTGTCACTTTTGCTAAAAGATAAAAAGGCCACGTGCACAGTTATTACAGTCTGTCAACCAAGATGCATTTTAAAACCAAGTCTAAACAGGCTCTTAGATTATAACCAAGAAAGCTGTGACGTTTACACGTTCTTTTTCATCCAGTTAGCCTTAATTGGAAAATACAGGTGCTTTTACTTTCACTTCTATTGCAGTGATCATAGGTGTACTCACATTTGTTGCACTGATGTGCGACTTAGGGGCCCATATTTTCAAAGTAGTCTGTCCTGTTTGTTCTTTTAAAAATTACATAAGATCAAATGCCTTACACTTCAACTAAAAATACAATAATTGTCACATGGTACAATTTTGAATCATTTGGTGATATTCCATGGCTGTACTCAATTTTGTTGTGATTTTTATATTATAGTTTATTTTGAGAATTTCTTTGTCATTTTGTTTGAAATGAATGAATAAACCAAGAAAAAAATGTAAACCTCAGTTTGGACAATGGACTTCTTTTGCCTGCGTGCGATATATCCGCATGGTGGCCATTTGATTTTGAGTCTGAATTTGGAGAAATGGCCACTACAGAGACCAAAACAAAACTCCAGTAACTTACCCAGTTCTCCTCCGCTGACAGAGAAGTCTCGCTCCAGAATGACCCACTTCTGGACCTTCTGGGCGTTGGACATTGCTCTGGTGTTGATGCGCTCCAGACCATCCTGAATGGCTTTGTATATTGTTGGCTCCTTGATGGCTATGACCTCTGACACCTTGGTTGCTGTGACGCCGTGCTGCTTGCAGAAGTCCAGAACTTCAGGGCTCAGCTCATCTGTGGGCTCACTGTTGTCATCCACAACACACTGGAAACAGAGTAGAGGGTCATTTTTGTATATGTGTGTTTTTAAGTCTAGTAGCTGTGACTGCTTTTCAGGAATAGGGAGTTACTTTGAGAGTGAGCAGCATGGACAGGAACTTGAGTTTGTCTCCAATCAGCATAGCGTTACTGATGATGGGCACCTCAGCCTTCAGTGCTTCCTCGATAGGCACAGGAGGGATGTTCTCTCCACCGGCAGTGATGATCAGTTCTGTGAAATAAAAGACAGGTTCAAAAATATTTCACCCGTTTGCCAGTGTTTAGTGTCTGATTTTAACATTATATTAGCCTTTGTAAAATTCTGACGAAATGTTGCGCTGTGGTGTATTCCTGGGTTTTATCTGCAAATTCTCTTTCTAAGAACTTGCAGGAAAAAAAAACCCAGTTATTGAGTTACACCCCTAAATCACAAGGAAAACTTTCACTACAAACAAGCAGTTAAATTAAAGACATAAAAGTGCGGTGTGTACCAACTTTAAAAGGTTAATTACATTCTTTAGTTATGGTCAAGTATGTGAAAACCTTTGCACCATGTTTCCACACCAGTGTCCATCTGTTTCTTTGAAGACAATTTAACCAACCAACCAACCGTGACGTTTGTGTCAGCTCCTCTGAGGTGTGGCACATGCTCAGATTAACAGTGTGACAATATTGCAACGTCAAAATACTCCAGTACAAGTTTAACGTCTCGATTCAAAAGGTACAAACGTGTATAAGTAGCCTTTTGTTGTAGCTGGCTGAGGAGGAGATTCTTTTAATTACATACAGTTAGGTAGTATATCAATGGTTTCCAAGCTACAGTTGGGGTCAGGCCCCTCCTATAGGTCACAAGATAAATTTGAGGAGTGCTTTACAACAGTAAAAGGCTACTTGCATGCTGGTGCATCAGAATAAATTGTCCAATAATGTTTTCTTTTCCCCCGAAACTAAAAACGCACACAAGCTTTTTCTTTCTGCAGCTTACCTTTAATCCTTCCTGTGATGTAGAGGAAGCCCTGCTGGTCATATTTTCCCAGGTCTCCAGAGTGCAGCCAGCCGTCCTGGTCGAGAGCTTCTGCTGTTTCATTGGGCATGTTCAGGTAGCCCATAAAGATGTTGCGACCCCAGGAACAGACCTCTCCGTTTCCATCCTTATCTGGATTCACCAGCTTTGTCTTGCAGCCTGGCAACGCCTTCCCACAGCTGGAAAGAAATATGTTAGCAACATTCTTATTTAGACCAGGTGTGGGCAGATGCTGACCAGAAACTGCACTACAATGGTATCACTACTTTAAAATTTAGTAAGCATAATGTCAGTAGGTAAAGTTATACGAACCTGGCCAATTCATTATAATTTAAACCTGTGGTTTCTTATCTGTTTAGCTAGTGGTCTTTTAAAACAAATGTGTGCCTTGTAACCCCTCAAGACAAGTTATATTTAGGTGTGTACCACTGGCTCTATATATAAATGGATGACACATCACTACTTCCTGCCACGATGCAAAAGTGAAGCCAAAATATCACCAATACGAAGGAGGCCATATTGCTTTGTGACACATTTTACAAACAGAGGTGGAGCCGCAATATCAGGCTGCCAATCAAAGCTGTCAAATCATCCAAATTACACCCATTTTATATCATCAAATAACTTATTTATAGATGTTTGGCAAGCTCACTTCTTTCTAAATCTGCACCCCCAGATTTTTTTAATATTGTCAAACTTCTTTAGTCTTCAGCTCCAGCCAACACTGACTCAAATGGCATCACTTGAGACAATTATCAGGCTTCATACAACTCCACATCTGGAGCCACAGAAGGTTTCATACAACCTTTTCACATATGCATTTGTACTCCTCAACACCTGTAATTAGAGTTACTTTTTCACTGGAGAGAAATTCACAGTTTTCAGCATTGTAGCATTCTCATGTCCTTAACAGCATATTGTTAATATAGTTAATTAAATAGCTGACATGTTGCTATAACATTTTGCTGCTGACCTTGTAACACGGTATTCACCAATAATGGCTACGGTGTGTGGGCCAGAGCTTTCGCTCATGCCGTATGCTTCTGTCACAGGGATGTTCAGGCTCATGAAGTACTCCACAGTGTCTTTGGTGATGGGGGCAGCACCTGTGAGACAGAACCTGCAGCGGTCTAAGCCAAGCGCAGCACGCACCCTCTTGAAGACCAGACTGTTGGCCAGCATGAAACCCCACGGCACCAGATTCTCCCTGTGTCCCAGAAGAAAAAGTCAAATTCACACCAGGGCCATTTGAAATTAAGATTCCTTTTGATTAGTAACAAGTGGGCTCAGAATAAAATATCAGCAATTTTTACCATGTTAGCAGCAAAGAAATATCTCAGTAACCATTGGATGGATTAGCAGCCATGTGCCTCGAAGGATCAATCCATCAGACTTTGGTGATCACCTTACTTTTCATTGATTCCCACTGGTGATTTATAATGACATGACTAGACAACTATTGGATGGATTGAGATAAAATTTGGTGTAAGCATTCATGTCCCCCTCAGATTGAACGGATTTAACTGTAACCACTTTGGTGATCCCTGACTTAACTATCTAGCCCCATTATTGTGTCCAAAGTTCAATTCCTCCAGGACTTTGGTGTACAGGGAAGCACACTACAGTCATCAAATTATAAAAATGGAGGCTGTATCTCATAATTATTCCTTACAGTCTCATAATCTAATAGTTGTTAAGTGTAGACTGCTGCACAAAAATTGCAATTTTATCCATTTAAAAATAAATCTACAACACATAGTGTGCAAACAGTGGAAACAAACATGAAATACTATCTGAAGCCACTGTACTAATAATAATAATAATAATAATAATAAAAATATCAATCACATTACTCGCTGAAATTAATTTCCCCCATCGTCTTAAATCAAGGGGGAAAATAAAAGCAAAACAGGCTGTGCCATTATGCCTCTGTTCCCTCAGTGATGATGGCTGATGTCAACTTTCATTTTTTTCTCATAATTACAAGAAAACTGTCATGATCACAAAATACCTTTCTTGTGCTTATTATGATTCAGGTCTTGCAGTCATGAGCTCTTTTTTTTGTAATTGGGACATAGTAAGTAATAATTAAGATATATGAAAGTCACAACTATGAGATAAGACCTACAATTTTTTCTTTTCCTCCGATGTCTGGATGCAATGTGCTTCCATAACTATATGACAAATTATATACAAAAGATAATTATTTGAACATGGTAAACATAGCGGCTTAACATCAGCTAGTTAAAATCATCATTGTGAGCATGCTGATGTTAGCATTAGGCGCTATGCACAGTCTCACAGAGCTGCTGGGGTGTAGACTCTTGTCTTGTTTATTACCCTGAAAAATGATTTTGGAGTGAAAACCTTTAAATATTCACTTTAAAATAAGCTGTTGGTGCTGCTGTTGATGAGATCATTGTTGAGAGAGAGATGAGTGGCATATCAATGTTAGAAGAAACCTTGTTTTGTGCTTTAAGCTAACATTATGGCCCAGTTATTATAATAGTTAAATGAGCTTAACAACATCTTAGAGAGAAGATGTAACTTAGGTGGTAAAGTGTGCAAACCGTTGAAAAGACTATAACACTCACAGAGATGTGATGTGTTGTATCACCGCCAGATAAAAGGGAGAGTTGTTTACAAATGGCTCAAACACCTGACATGGTGAATTCTACCACAGCTTCCCTGCTGTCGTCTCACCCAGTCATGACGCTGTAGTTGTATCGCAGCCCTATGGACTTGGCCCAGTCTGATATTCTCCTCATCATTGGGGGTGCCTTGGCACCGACAGCTTTCATCTTCTCCTGCATTTTCTCCCACACGCGAGGAACCCCGAGGAACCAAGTTGGACGAACCTCTTTCAGTGTGGTTACCAAAGAGCCCTGGAAAAATGAATGGGCATTGTAGTGAAAGTGGGAAACCACCTTTATTATTTACATGTCTCTACAACAGAAGGG